GCCATCTCTGGGCCTGGGCGCCGTCCCTCAGCTCTTCAGCTCAAGGCGGGCGCTCGACCGCTTGAGCCACAGCGCCACTTCTGGTTTTCTGGTGGTTCCTGGGAGATCAGAGTCTCATGGACTTTCCTGCCCAGGCTGGCTTTGAACCGCGATCCTCAGATCTCAGTCTCCTCAGTGTCTGGGGTGATCACCGTTAGGCCGTGGTCCCCGTGTGCCAGGCTGGCCTTTGGCCCCTGAGCTGGGGTTGGTGCCAGCCACCCCACCGGTGCCTGAAGGGTCCGGGCCAAGGCCGGGCAGGGCTGGACGGCCCTGTAGAGTGCTGAGCTTGAGCGATCCTGTCACATCTCAGGGAGAGCGGGTTCCAAGTCCGTCTTGATTAGCATCCACCCTGTCTCCTGGGCCGCCCCAGGGAGCTGCCTGTCAGATCTGCCAGCTCCCATTATCCAGGGCACACGGGACGAACAGATGGGAGGGGTGGGGGGAGAAGAGCTGGAAGTCCTGCAGGGTGTCTGCCCTCTTATGCCTTTCATTTGCCCAGGGATATTCTTCTTCTCCTTCCCTCCCTGACTCTCATTATTCCTTCTTTCTCTCCCTCCCTCCCTCCCTCCCTCCCTCCCTCCCTCCCTTCCTTCCTTCCTTCCTTCCTTCCTTCCTTCCTTCCTTCTTCCTTTCTCCCTCTCTTCCTCCCTTCCTTTCTCCTTCCTTCTTTTCTTCTTCCTCCCATCTTCTTCCTTCCTCTCTTCCTTTATCCTTCCTTCCTTTCCCTCCTTCCTTCTTTTCTCTCTCCCTCCTTCTTTCCTCCTTCCACTGTTTCCCTCCCTTCCATTCCTCCTTCCTTTCATCCTTCTCCTCCCTTCCCTTCCTCCCTCTCTCCCTCCCCCTCTCCCTTCCTCCTTCCCTTTTTCCTTTCCTTCCTTCCTTTCTTTCTTCCTTCCTTCCTTCCTTCCTTCCTTCCTTCCTTCCTTCCTTCCTTCCTTCCTTCCTTCCTTCCTTCCTTCCTCCCTCCCCCCTCCTTCCCTTCTTCCTCTCTTCTCCTCCCTCCCTCCCTCCCTCCCTCCCTCCCTGTCCTGGCCACAGAGCTGGGGTTCTGCACTTGCTTTCTATCTTGACCCCTCCCCCTCCACAAGAGGCCAGATGTGGGTGGCGGGTGGAGCACTGGGGGAGGAGTCCTCTTGATCATGGGAAGCCAGGGAGGAGGCTCCTGTAACCGGCCTGGGTGCTCATCAGTGGCTCCCGCCTGTCATCGCAGCTGCTCGGGAGGCTGAGATCTGAGGGTCTCGGTTCAAAGCCAGCCTGGGCCGGAAAGTCCATGAGACTCTGATCTCCCATGAACCACCAGAAAACCAGAAGTGGCGCTGTGGCTCAAGTGATAGAGCACCAGCCTTGAGCAAAAGGAGCTGAGGGACAGCGCCCAGGCCCTGAGTTCAAGCCCCAGGACTGGCAAATAATAATAATAATAATACTAAAAGGAAGAGCAGGGCAAGGTTCACATCGTGTCTGCTCCCAGGTGTCTGGTTGAAGTGAAGCCCGAGCTGTCTGGCGGTTCAAGACTTCATAATGTTGCTGTGTTTCGTGGCAGAGGTTTGGCAAGTTGTGGATTTATGATGGAAAAAAAAAGATGGAAATCGGGAGCGGTGTGAAGAACGGGGGCCCCGGAAGGCGCCCAGAGCCTCCGTGGCTCAGACCCTTGATACCTGTGCACACATTTCCCACACACACCTCAAACTGTCCCCGGTTCTTCCACTACCCACCGCCACGGGACGGCTCGGGGGAAGGCGTGCTTACGCTCCATTGTCCAGGGATTAATGACACCGGGGAAGAGGTCCGCGGAGGGCTCAGCTGGCTGAGAAATGAGGTCCGGGACCGGCTGGCTCTGGGTCCCTGCAAGGCCCAGGAGAAGCTTCCATCTGAGTCAGCTGCAAAGGGGATTGGAGAAGTCGGTCCTTCATCCTTCCACGCTGAACCCGCCTCCCAAGCCACCGCCGCAGCCAATGGGGTCCTAAGACTGGGACCCCACCAACCTGTTACTGTGAGAGCATCATGGGTACAAGGACTATATGAAGAATATAGATTCGATTAGGTGTATCATACATAGTTATATAAACATATATAATTACCTATAACATAATATATGGTATATTATAATATAAAAATATAGTTATAGCTGGGAAGGTGGCTCAGTGGTAGAGTGCTTGCCTTGCATGCCTGAGGCCCTGGGTTCGATTCCTCAGCACCACATAAGCAAAAAGAAAAAAGCCAGAAGTGGCGCTGTGGCTCAAGTGGTAGAGCGCTAGCCTTGAGCTGAAGAGTTGAGGGACAGCGCCCAGGCCCAGAGTTCAGGCCCCACGACCGGAGCACCCCCAAAAAATATAGTTATAGTTTATATTATATATTCTATGTAGTTACAGAATATATATCCATCACATCATATAAATTATATATTATCCGTTGTATCTATTATAAATTTAAAAGTATATATCATATTAAATACATGATAAATATATATAATGATATAAATATATTTTTATATACTTTATTTATACATATTTATTATATATTTATAATGCATAACATATAATTTGTTTTGATTTGTCGGTCGTGGGGCCTGAACTCTGGGCCTGGGCGCTGTCCCTCAGCTCTTTAGCTCAAGGCGAGTGCTCTACCCCTTGAGCCACAGCGCCGCTTCTGGCTTTTTCTGCTTCTGTGGTGCTGAGGAATCGAACCCAGGGCCTCAGGCATGCGAGGGGAGCACTCTACCACTGAGCCACCTTCCCAGCCTTATAATTTATAATTTATTATATGCTTATAATATATAACGCATATGCGTTATATATTATATGAATCATATAATTATAAGGTAATTAATATAATTATATACATATCACGCATTACATATCATAATTATACACTACAGAATAAGAATTCTGTAATTGATATAATTAACTAATGATATAATTAATGATATAATTGTATATCAATATACTATAATATATATTTAATATACATTCCTCATAACTTTCCAGAGGACAGGAGTTCACAGATAAGGAAACCGAGGCAGGAATGAGTGACGTAATCAAGCCAGAGTCCAGCCCCGCCCCTGCTGCCTGCCCTTGAGGGCTTTACCTGGCAGGGACACACAGGAAAGCCAGCTCCCTCAGGCCCAGCGGCGGGTCTCCGCTGGGCACTGTGCCGTGCCCAGGAGGCGTGCCCCAGGAAGAGACGTCCCCTGCCATCAGACGGCTGTGGCCAGGCCCACCTGGTGCCCGCCAGTCCCTATGCCCGACAGGGTGCTGATGGCCAGGGATGGCTTGGTTACCGGGGTTCTGGCTGGGGGCGATTTCCCAGGAAGCATGCGTGGAGGGCTGGCGTGGTTGCAGGACAGTCCTAAGAAGGAAGGAAGGAAGGAAAGAAGGGAGAGAGGGAGGAAGGGAGGGAGGGAGGGAGGAAGGGAGGGAGGGAGGGAGGGAGGGAGGGAGGGAAGGAGGGAGGGAAGAAGAAGGGAAGGAGGGATGAGGGAATAGAGAAAGGAGGGAGGAAGGAGGGAGGGAGGAGGGAAGGAAGGAAGGAGGAAAGGAAGGAAGGGAGGGAGGGAAAGAAGGGAAGGAGGGAAGGGAAAGAGGGAAGAAGGAAGGAAGGAAGGAAGGGAGGGACTGAGGGAGGAAGGAGGGAGAGATAAGGGAAGGGAGGGAGGAGGGAAAGGAGGAAAGAGGAAAGAATGGAAAGGAAGGAGGGAAGGAAGGGAGGGAGGGAAGGGAAAGAGAGAAGAAGGAAGGGAGGGAGGAAGGAAGGAAGGGAGGGAGGGAGGAAGGAGGGAAGGAAGAAAGGGAGGAAGGAGGGAAGGAAGAAAGAGAGGAAGGGAGGAAGGAAGGAAGGGAGGGAGGGAGGAAGGAAAGGAGGGAGGAAGGGAGGCAAAAATACCCTGGCAAAACCTTGTGGTTCTGCAAGAGGACCAATCGGCCCTCTTGGTGGGCCAGGAGAGTGGCAGGGCAGATGGAGTTCAGATCTGAAAACAGATCAGGGCAAGCAGTCATCGGGAGAAGGGGCTGAGAGACCCAGATGCCTATAGCCTACGCGTGGCAAGGAAAATAAACAGAACAACACTCCTACTGGTTCAGCGGAGGGACACGCGCTAATCAAAGTCATCATCATCGTCTGAGAAAAGGAAGAACAAAAGTCAGGAAATGCCCTGGTGGCTGATGGGAGTGTGGCTTCCCGCCGGGCGGGAAGCATTCAGGGGCACGCTGATTTCCTGTGAACTTGAACTTCCTCTCCAACCCAGCCACTGCACGAGTGTGATATTTACTGGCCTAAAACAGGGGCCTGCCGCCACACCCCGCCCCGCTGCACAGACACCGGGAACGGCTCCGTGCATGCTTGCTGGAGGCCGGACACCACCCCAGCTGCCCTGTCCTGGAACTGGGGACATGAGCCCCAGTGGACGGACATTAAAACCAACCTTGTTCACAGCCAGAGACAATCACCAGCCAGAACACACCTGTGGAGTAGCAGCCCTGTGTACAGCTACTTAACAGGACATGTTGCATGTGTGTGTGTGTGTGTGTGTGTGTGTGTGTGTGTGTATGTTTTAAAGAATGGGACACGGGCTGGGTACTGGTGGCTCCCGCCTGTCATCCCAGCTACTCAGGAGGCTGAGATCTGAGGATCGCAGTTCAAAGCCAGCCTGGGCAGGAAAGTCCATGAGACTCCGATCTCCCATGAACCACCAGAAAACCAGAAGTGGTGCTGTGGATCAAGTGGTAGAGCGCCAGCCTTGAGCAGAAGAGCTGAGGGACAGCGCCCAGGCCCCGAGTTCAAGCCCCACCAATGACTCCATCAATCAATAAATAAGCGGAAATAAGTCAAGTGCATTCTGGGTATTAGAACCACAGCCGTAGGTAGAGAGTGACCGATGCTAATAGCATGCAGATTTATGCATCGTGGCGAGCAAATTCACTAACGCCTATTTCTGATCTCGATCCTCCTCTCGTCTCTCCCACCAGGATGAAGACAAACTGACCTGGAAAGACCGGTTCCCTGGCTACTTGATGAACTTCGCCTCCATCCTGTTCATGGTAACTCCCTGCCCAGGGGCGTGGGGCTTTGTCCCCGCGTTACTCTGTCTATTTTGGGAGGGTAACAGCGCGTACCACGCAGGAAGATCTGGGCCAGGATGAAGGCCCGTGACCCTACACACCGGATGCTAGTAGACCAGGGAGAGGTTTTGAGAGAGGACCTTTCCTATTGCCAGGCCTAGAACTCAAGAGAGGGAGGAGGTAGGGGCCGGTGGCTCCCGCCTGTCATCCCAGCTACTCAGGAGGCTGAGATCTGAGGATCACGGTTCAAAGTCAGCCCGGGCAGGAAAGTCCCTGTGAGACTCTTTATCTCCCATGAACCACCAGAAAACCAGAAGTGGCGCTGTGGCTCAAGGGGTAGAGCGCCCGCCTTGAGCTGAAGAGCTGAGGGAGAGCACCCAGGCCCTGAGTTCAAACTCTAGGAAAAATGGCTGCAGAGTTGGGCCAGCCTGCTAGAACTGAAGGAATTCAGGGAGTGGCTTCCTCCTGGTGGTTTGTGATGTGGGACAGGAAGCCACGGGAGAGAGACATGGGGCCTTGGAATCTGGTTTGTTTTTGCGTTTACTGGTTGTGAATGGGGGCCGGGGGAGGCCTCATGAGCTTTTTGGCTCCAGCTGGCTTCAAACCGTGATTCTCCCAATGTCAGCCTCCTGAGTAGCTAGGATTACAGGTGTGTGCCCAGCTTTCTAAGCCTGGTTCTTTAGTGTCATTGCTATATTTATCTCTATGTTTGGGAGAACTTATTTATGTTTTTTTGGCACCGGTCCTGGGGTTTGAATTTAGGGCCTGGGCGCTGCCCCTGAGCTTTTTTTTTCCATTCAAGGCTGGTGCTCTACCCCTTGAACCACAGCTCCACTTGCAGTTTTTGGTGATTAATTGGGGATAAGACTCTCAGACTTGCCTGCCCAGGGCTGGCTTTGAACCGTGACCCTCAGATCTCAGCCTCCCGAGTAGCTGGGATGACAGGTGTGAGCTACCAGTGGCCCGGCTTTAGAATGGGTATGTGTGTGTGTGTGTGTGTAACACAGCTGTGTTAGTGAAAGTTAGTGACCAACAAGAGAGCCAAACTAAAGGCATTAACTTACCCATCTGTATGAGATTTCTTGAGGATGATCAGTTTCCCAAGAGCTGGTAATTACCTCAGAGCACTTCAGACAGGATCGGGTTTGCCATGAAAAGGATTTGGTTGTGTCAGTGGTGATTTTTGTTGGTATCCTGGGGTTGCTCAGCTTATTTGCTTGGCGAGGTACATTACCGCATGAGCCACACCTCCGGTGTAGCTTTTTGCCGACCAATTGGCACTCCATAACTGCTCAACAACAGACCAGGCGCTCCAGGTGGGCCCAGTGACGGGACACCGTAGGTGCTCAATAATGGCGCACTCGGTCATGTCCTCTCCCGTCTTCCCGGCCAGATCGCCCTGACGTTCTCCATCGTCTTCGGGGTCATCGTGTACCGTATCACCATGGCGGCCGCTCTGTCCCTCAACAAGGCCACGCGCTCCAACGTGCGGGTCACGGTGACCGCCACGGCCGTCATCATCAACCTCGTGGTCATCCTCATCCTGGACGAGATCTACGGCGCCGTGGCCAAGTGGCTCACCAAAATCGGTACGGAGTCGGCACCCCGTCCCCCCCTCCCCTGCCTCCCCCCACCCCTAGTTCTTCCTGTCCAAGGCGGGGTTGGGTGGCGAAGACGCAAATAGAAAAGAAGCACCGGGAACAGGACGTGCGGCGTGCAGTGCGTTGGAGCCGAAAAAGTGAGGGACTAGTATGTCTGTGCTCTCTGCTGGTCCCAAACCTCAGCCCTCTGGTCTCAGGTTGTCTTAGACGACAGGGATTTCACACTTATCAGCCACTACTTCTATTCATTTGGGGTTGTTTACGGTCGGTCACGGGGCTTGAACTCAGGGCCTGGGCGCTGCCCCTGAGCTCCCCCCCCCCCCCCCGCCCAAGGCGGGCGCTCTACCCCTTGAGCCACAGCGCCACTTCCAGTTTTCTGGTGGTTGGTTCCTTAGAGATCAGAGTCTCGCTGACTTTCCTGCCCGGACTGGCTTCGAACCTCCATCCTCAGGTCTCAGCCTCCTGGATGGCAGGGGTGAGCCACCGGCGCCCCGTGGGTCTCTTCTTTTGTAGCTCAGCTTGTGAGACAGAGTTACCGCTTCCTGGGGAAGGGGAGAAGAGTAATAAACCATAACATTTGCTTCCTCCTTTTCCCGGCCCAGCCACCCCCACCAAGAGCCTCTTGATACTTGAGCCCCAAAGGTCTTATCTAGCCTAGAAAATTCTCACATTCCCCCCCAGTGACTGTGCAGACTTCAAAGGGGGGAAAAAAATCAGACTTTGTCCAGTGAGAAATGATGCCCGGGGGGGGCCCCCAATTTCAGACACAAGCGTCATTTGAGCACCCTGACATCTGTGTCCATGAGATGGGGCGGGAGGGGGGGGAGTGGGGAGTGGGAGAGGAGGGCCAGTCGGAGATCTTCTCCCTTGCTTTTATTCTGGATGGGCCCCCAGTGGACCCCCCTTTATTTTCTCAAGCCTGAGATGACCCCCCCCCGCCCGCCCCATTTCTGGCTCTGGGGAGAGAGGTGTCAAGTTCATGATAATGGTGGCGTCCATGCACTGATCAGTTAGAAACTGGACCGTCCAAAGATGGGGTGAGAGCAATTCCCTCAGCACAGCCTTCCGCTGGGAACCGGGGGTTCGGGGCGGCCTCCATCCTGGGGTTCCCAGAGTGACCCCTCACTTTGGACTTCTGCACCCAACCAGGCAGATTCTCCCTCCAGAGCCACAGTTCTGGATTTTTTCCCCCCTGGGCATTTACACATGAGACACATATATATGTGTCTCCCTTCCTGGCTTTATGGGTGGGGGGGGGGGATCAGCAAGGACTGTGATCCCACGGATTGGGTTGTAGGCTTTATGTGATCCTTGGTGCCGTTAGAGATTTTCTGAGGGCCCAGTGAGGGTAGGAGGAGGGGAACACAGTGGGAATTCGGCAGGGAGGGGAAATCACAGCTCTCTAGATGGGGGAAGACATGGGGGGGGGAGGGGGAGGAAGGCTGGGTGACACTTGGTGGAGAGACAGACAGGACCAGGCCTTGGAGGAAGTGCTCGGCGGGTGTGGTCACTCTGCATTGTCTGGTACCTCCTCTGTCTCTCCATCATACACAGACTGGCCCGGATCCAGATGCCCTGTCTGGCTCCCGGCACTAGTGGGCCATGGGCGGCTTCCAGATGCTTCCATCCAGAGCAGCAATCATCCCTCAGGGGGCTGAGATCTGAGGATCGAGGTTCAAAGCCAGCCCAGGCAGGAAAGTCCATGAGACTCTGATCTCCAAGGAACCACCAGGAAACCGGAAGTGGCGCTGTCGCTCAAGTGGTAGAGCACCAGCCTGGAGCACAAAAGTTCAGGGACAGCACCCAGGCCTTGAGTTCAAGCCTTAGGACTGGCACACTCACACACACACACACACACACAATTGAAGCACTGGAATGTGTGTGGATCTGTGTGGCCATATTGCCAGCAAGCAGTTCCCCACCGCGTTGGCCAACCAGGTAGCAACAACGACTCTGTCTCTCGTAGTTTATTTTCCTTTATTGGTGCCAGGGATTAAACGCAGGGCCTGGATGCCGTCCCTGAGCTTTTTCACTCAAAGCTGGTAGCTGGCGCTCTACCACGTGAGCCACAGCTCCACTTCTGGCTTTTGTTTTTTGCTGGTTTCCTGGAGATCAGAGTCTCTCTGATCTCCCGGTCGGTCTTTCTGCCCAGGCTGGCAGAAGTTACCCCAGGAGGCCTTAGCTCCCCCTCCCCCCTTCCTTGTACCCATGACCAACACAGCTGCAGGCAAGAGGCCTGGTTTTGGGGGGGAGGAGGGGGTGTCCCACAAGCTCCCCGGGGGACACAAAACTCTGGATCACGTCACCACCTAATGGCATGCGATGTCTGTCAGGCTCTGGGGTGGGGGTGGGGGGCTTTGCCTTGGCCATTCTCACGCTGGGTTAATACCCGTTTGGCTTCCTGCCCCAGATCTCCTAAGAGCCCAGGAAGCTGTTGCCTCCGTGTTGTTCCCAGCAGGTGCAAACAGCTGGTGCCAATAAAAATAAAAACCCCTTGAGAAGTTGGCCAAGTTGTTTCCTGCAGGGATTGGGGGTGGGGGGGAGGCGGCGGTGTTCATGGATGCCCCGCTTCCTAATAGCATACCTCGGTGGGCCTCGGGCATCGGAACTATGTTTGAAGTCTGTCTCTGTTCCAAACACAGTGTCCATTTTCACGAGAGAGCGAGATCGACTGCCCACGTCTGTCAGCCAGGCTGCTAAGTGAGCATAGCTTTGGGGTACAAAGCCTGCTGAGCTTCTGGAGACAGCACCGGTGAAGCAGGGAGGGTAGGGGAATCTAGGGGTGTCTCAGGAAGCAGATAGGGCTTTGGAGAGGGAGCCCCAGGGTAACCCCCCCCCCCCCGAGGTGCAGCCACCAGGGAGGGTCCAGGCTGAGAGTAAACGAGGTCCATCTCCCGTCCCAGGGATCTGTCCATCCCTCAAAGTGCTGGTTATACAAAGTGATCTCACGTACGTGAGGTGCAAGCAAGCGAGAGCTGGGCAGGGCAGTGTGACCCCCCTGACCCACACACATGGGAGGGTGTTCAGCTATGGAGGGAGGCTACACACCGGACCAGGGGACAATCAGCTACCGGCTCAAGGCTCGCTTCCTTTGTGTGAGGAAAATCTGTCTTTCCTAAGGAAGTGGTGGGCGGGAAAGTGACTGCGTTGGACCTTGGCTCTCCTGGAGTATTCTGCTAAGGAAAAGAGGAATGGGGTGTGCACACACATACACACATGCATGCACACACACGCATGCACATGCACACACATGCATGTGTGCACATGCACACACGCACGCATGCACACACATGCGCATACACATGCACACATGTACACATGCACACACGCACATGCACACATGCATAAACATGTGCACACATGCACACACTTGTGTGCACACACACATGCACATGCACACATGCACACAATGCACACATGCACACACACACGCACACACGCACCCACACGCACACACATGCATGCACGCACATGCACACACATGCGCACACACATGCACACATGCACGCACACACATGCACACACACACACGCACACACTCATGCACACACGCACCCACATGCACACACGCATGCACACACACACATGCACACACACATGCACGCACATGCGCACACACATGCACACATGCACGCACACACATGCACACACACACGCATGCACGCACACACGCACACACATGCACACACACACACACTCATGCACGCACACACATGCACACACGTGCATGCACACGCACACGCACGCATGCGCGCGCACACACACACAGAGGTACAGTTTTAGGATAAAAGGGAGGGTTTTTGCAGTGTGAGGTTTTGTCTTAAGCTATTGTTTTTTTTTCCAAGATGGAATTAAGACACTCCTCAGATTGTTCCAGAAATGGCAGAGGGGGTGGTATGGTTCCTGTACTGTTCATCTTATTTCAAAGTGTTTTAATGGTCACCCTGTGTAAATACATCTCACCTTATTCAAATTAGCCAATCACAAACAGATCGGGAACATGAGCTCAGCCAATCAGGGCAGAGGGGCGGGGGGTGTGTGCTGCTGCCTTGGGGAATACCTTTTGCCCTATTCAAACTAGCCAATCACAAGCAGGTCGAGAACCTGAGCTCAGCCACTCAGGGCAGAGGGGCAGGGCCCAAGGTGTTAGGTATAAATAGGGGAGCGGCCTGCCTGCCCTGTGTGCTCGCTGGCTGGAGTTCTGGCTGATAGCGGTCCCGATCTTTGCAGAAGTAAATTTTACCTTGTTGGGTCAACAGCTCTTTATTTTTGTGTGACTCCAGTGGTTCTTGGAGTTCTTATAACAGCTCGGTTCTTATAAGATCCTTCCTTTGTTCAACAAACCGGTGATTCTGGATTAGGGCCTGGGCGCTGTCCCCGAGCTGCTTTTGCTTTACCACTTTGAGCCACAGCCCCACGTTGACTTACGATGCTTGATTGGAGAAAAGAGTCTCACGGACTTTCCTGCCCAGGCTGGCTTCGAACCATGATCCTCAGATCCCAGCCTCCTGGGCGGCTAGGATGAATAGGCGTGAGCCACCGGCACCCGGCCAGTGATGCTTGACACGGGGGTTCCCAGGGTATCTCAGGACCCCCACAAGGAAGGGTCGGGGTATCCACAGCTAGTGACAGAGGTGACACACGTGCCCACTGTCCAACCACCCAGCTGATTGGCTTTCCTGGGGGAGGGTGACCCCTCCCTAGGGCATGGGCATTGGACCCCAGGCCCAGACAGTCCCTCCCGCCCCATTCATTCCCACCCTCCCCCTCCCCCCAACGGGACTGGATGGTTGGACTGGCAGAAAACACTGCTGTGGGCTAAAAGTTTGCTAGCCCCCAGAGAGAAGCAGAGAGAGAGAGACAGAGAGAGAAAAGAGAGAGAGAGAGAGAGCTCTTGGCCTCAGACCTTCTGGGTGTTATACGGGAATTTGATCGGCGGGAGGGAGAGAAGGAGCATCATTCTATGGGAGGCCGAGTTGCGGGGTGGGGTGGGGGGGGTTGATGACAAAGCCGGTGACTGAGGGAAGACTCATGTCCTCCCTGTCCTGCCCCCCCCCAAAAAAATCAGAGCCCTGAATGCAACTAGTAACAAAGCTTATAAAGGCAAAGCCTACATGATCGGTACAAGGGAAGGAATCCTAGCGCAAGTGTCTACAGAAGCAAAGCAAGTGGCCCCCGTCACCCAATACGATGCCAAGATGGTAGTAAGGACAAGATGGAGCCACTTAGACCCAGGGTCCATATTCCCCCGGCTTCTGTCCCTGTCCCAGCCAGGCCTGTCCCAGCTGAAATACATTTAGGCAGCTCCCCACCTTCTACGGCCCAGCTGGCTTTTTCCAGACCCGTACCCCGAGGCTGGCTACGCTGCTTTGTGTGATTAGAAAAGTGTGCTGAGGATTCTCACGGATTTTCCTGCCCGGGCTGGCTTTGAACCGCGATCCTCAGATCTCAGCCTCCTGAGTAGCTAGGATGACAGGCAGGAGCCCCTGGAACCCAGCTATAATCATTGTTTTTCATGACAGAGTGCAACCAAAGTTTAATGCTCAAAAGGAAAAAGGGTGCAGTTGGCCGACGCCGGTGGCTCACACCTACCGTCCTAGCTACTCAGGAGGCTGAGCTCTGAGGACCCAGGCACAAAGCCACTCCGGGGAGACTGTAATCTCCAATTAACCACCAAAAAGCAAGAGACTGGAGGTGTGGCTCACATGGTAGAGCGCCAGTCTTGAGCAAAAAAAAAAAAAAAAAAACCCAAAAAGCTCAGGGACAGTCCCAGGACCAGAACAAAAATATAGATTTTTTAAAGAAAATAAAAGAAGAAGTGTCACATGGCCAGCCTTTGGTTCTGATGGGATTCGGGGAGGTGAGCCCTTCGGGGTCTCCAGTTACCCCTCTGCGACTCAGGCTGGCAGGAGTCAGGGGCGGTGGGGCGTGGCCGCCAGCCGGTCAAACTCTTTCCATCGCCGCTCTCCTTCCATAGTGCTGGCGATGGAGTCAAAGGGTATGTGTTGGAAGTTCAGCACAACCACAGAACGCTGGACGGTGGCCTCATAGGGACTCCAGGGGTTGTGATCTTGTGTGTGTGTGTGTGTGTGGGGGGATCTTGAGACACAGATGGCCGTGGGTGACCCACGGGCATTGGCCCAATCCCATGCGATCTCTTCCATATTTCCAGCCACGGTGACACATGGACAAAGGTCCCGGGGGAAGGGGGAAGGGGGAAGGGGAGCACCGGACTCTGTTTTTCTTTCTAATTCTATTTTACTTAAAAAAAAAATTATCTTGACATTCGTCGCCGGTGTGGTCTCTTCCCTCCTTCTCCCCCATCTCTCCCCACCCCACCCCTCCTCTCGAGTTGTGTCACCCGTGGACATGGAATTTTAGATCTGTGTTCACCTACCCTTCCTCTCTCCCTTCCTCTCTCCCCCACTCCCCTCAAACTCACCCCTCCAACGCATATCCCAGCTTCCAAAAGAGATCCAAAGGTCTCTGCCCCCGACATCCCTCAGTACCCCCAAAGCTCCATTCCTTCCCTCGCTGTGAGTGAAGCACTCTCCCCCCACCCACCTCCTCCCCCTCCCCCAAACCTTCCCTCTCCCAAAGGGCCCGGCCAAAGGCACGAGAGGACACACGGACAGCAGAGCTTCCTCCCGGCGGTCGGAGGACGTGGCGTTTTGATTTAGCGGCCCATCCGGCGGGCGGCGGTAGATTGTTTATTGGAAATGCTCATTATTTATGGTGGCGCGCGGCCCTAAAAGCTCAGGCACCGGCTGCTTTTAGAAACAGAGCTAATAAATAACGGCCGGCCGTGTGATTTATCAGAGTGGAGGAAGCGGGCTGTGTGGGGCGGGGGCATCCAATTCACTTCCAGACGCCGCGACGAAGAAGTTCTAAGAGCAGCGCTTTAGAGAACCGGGGAGGTGGAGGGGGGGAGGCGTAGGGCGCGTTTCTGGAGGGAGCAGAAGATGAGGACTGGTAGTTCTAAGGGGGTTACAGACAGGAAGCCCAGCACCTCACCCTAACCCCTCACGGGCATCTTTCCAGATAAGCTTCCCCCCACCCTCAAATTTTCAGGCCCTGGGACCTGATCATTTATTTTGTACCTGACATTTGTTTTAATTTTCTTATCCGGGTTGGGGGTGGATATTTTAAAGGGATGAGTTATGGTTAAGTTACTTTTGAATGTTATGCCTTTGGCATGCTGAGCAGGGGCGCAAATAATTCTTCTTTTCCTCCTCCTCCTCCTCCTCTTCCTCTTCCTCCTCCTTCTCCTCCTCCTCCCTCCTCCTCCTCCTCCTCTTCCTCTTCCTCCTCCTTCTCCTCCTCCTCCCTCCTCCTCCTCCTCTTCCTCCTCCTCTTCCTCCTCTTCCTCCTCCTCTTCCTCCTCTGCCTTCTTCTTCCTTTTTCAAAGTATTGCATTGAACAGGTTTTCTTTCCATCTTTCCCTTCCTCCTTCCCTCCCTCTTTTCCTTCTTGCTTTCTCCCCTCCTCTTCCCCTCCATCCTCCCTGTCTCTGCCTCTTTCTCTCTCTCTGCATCTACTGCTTGTATAACCTAGGTAACACAGGGCCCCACGTACAGACCCTCTGTCTGTGCCCGGTTAGCTCATCACCCAAGGGTGAATGCAGAATTCTTCCACTCGATCTTGACTGAGGATTAATGGAGAAGGAAATATGGTTTGGTTTGGTTTTTCATGTTTTTTAAGTTTGTTTTTAGTGTAAAGGTGATGTCCGGAAGTGGCTTCCATCACATAGGTTAGCAATGAGTAGTAAATAGGGTTTTGCAGTAGAAGTTTGTGAAACTTTTCCCTGGGTATCTCTACCTTGTCTCTCCTTTGGCTCAGTGGCCATATCTTCCTCTTGGCCCACACCCCCCCCCCCACTGCTCCCCAACTACGCTGGTTCAAATCTCTCTTGGGTCTTAGACCTACACTCAACATCCATCCTTTTCCTTTCCCCCAGGAGAGCTGAGCCCATCCCAAGGACCTGAAATATGACAGGAGCTGGCAGCAGGTAGCTCCTGCCTGTCATCCTCCATTCTCAGGAGACTGAGATCCGAGGATCGCGGTTCAAAGCCAGCCCAGCCAGGAAAGTCCGTGAGACTCTGATCTCCAAAGAACCCCCAGAAAACCAGAAGTGGTGCTGTGGCTCAAGTGGTAGAGCGCCTGCCTTGAGCTGAAGAGTGGAGGGACAGCACTCAGGCCCTGAGTTCAAGCCCCACCACCACCACCACCAACAACAACAAAAGATAAAAGAAATATGACAGGAATTTTACCATAGGAGCAGGACTGTTTCCTTCTTCCCAGTGTGATTTCATTCATTTATTAGTCACTTATTTTATAGGTGATTTTATTCACGTATTCACCCACTGGCTTGGTCATTTATGCACTTACTGGGTCTCATTTACCCACTTAGACATTCATTTCTTCTCTTTGGGATTACATTGAAAGACAAAGAGGCTCTTAGAGAAACACACTGAAGTCGGTAGATTCAAGGAAGAACTCACCTAGTGGCCACTCCTTAGAAAGCCAAAGTCAAAGCAGCACCGGTCAGGAGGCAGGGACTCGAAAGGGGTGAGGTGGGGTTGAGGGGAGAGGGGTGGACGGATGGAGGGGAGAAGAGGGAGGAAATGCAGTCCAGAACCCAGCGTCCATCCCACAAGAAAACCAAGAAGAGAGCGGGGAGGGGTGGGCAAGAAGTGGGGGCGTGGATCAAGAAGTATCGCGTTCATCAACTGCTTCTTTCGGTACAACCACTGACAGACAATAATGATTTTTATTATTATTTTTTTAATGGTTCCAACCCCCCCCCCCCCAAATGTCACGGGGAGACAGGCCTGGGGAAGAATCTCACCAGGGCTTTGTTTCTTCTTGTGTAGAGGTTCCTAAGACCGAGCAGACATTCGAAGAGCGTCTGATCCTCAAAGCCTTCCTGCTGAAGTTTGTTAATGCCTACTCTCCTATCTTCTACGTGGCTTTCTTCAAGGGCAGGTACGATGGAGCCAAAGCACCCGGCATTTAAGACCCCGATGGGGTGGGGAGGGGGCTAATAGCTTCAGCTCTAAAATAAACAGCACAGGGACTCAACACCCCCCGGCCCTCAAGGGAATGTTAGAATGTTAGAAGAATCGATGAGGCCGGTGGGAAGTTGAGGTCCAGACAGCCAGCGGCTCTGAGGCCTTGTGTCACAAGTCGATGCTGATGTCCGAGATTCAAGGTGTCATCTCCACAGCCCGCATTGCACGCAGCCACCAGCTGGGGTTCTGTGACTCAGAAGAGCGCCAGATCCCTTCCTCTTCTGGTCTTAGGGTCTTTCTGTTTGTCAGTCCTTCATTCTGGGGGCAAGGGAGTGGGGATAAGTCAAAATGTGGGCTGTGAACCAGAGAAAGGAGCCACGCAGCCACTACTGGCTTCTCGGTAGATAGGAGGATCGTGGTCCGAATGCCCTGTGACCCCAGTCAAAAAGCACAAGGCTGGTTCAGAAAACCTCACTGAAGTTTACAAGGCTGGAGACATGGGTAAAAACAACAACAATAACAATAATAATAATAAAGCCAGATGCTGGTGGCTCCCGGCTGTCATTCTAGCTACTCAGGAGGCTGAGATCTGAGGGTTACGGTTCAAAGCCAGCCTGGGCAGGAAAGTCCTTGAGACTCTGATCTCCCATGAATCACCAGAAAACCGGAAGTGGCGCTGTGGCTCAAAGTGGTAGAGTGCTTGCCTTGAGCTGAAGAGCTCAGGGGCAGCACCCAGGCCCCGAGTTCAAGCCCCGGGACTGGCAAAAAAAATAATAATAACAACAACAAAAGAAATAATAATAAGAAAGAATATGTATACCCCATCCCCACAGACCCACAGCAAACCGCGACCTGAAAATTGGGGGTGGTGGGGTGTGACCTTTGCTCCCTGGCTGATGGACAGCCAGCCCTCAGCCCCGCCCAGCACCCTCCCTCCCTCCCCCAGCTCCATCTTCCTCCCATGGTATGATTTCAGGTTTGTGGGCAGGCCGGGAAGCTACGTCTACGTGTTCGACGGATACCGTATGGAGGAGGTCAGTAGGGCTTCTGGTGTTCTGTGTCTGGCCGGGAGGTTTGTGGGGTGCACAACCAACCCCCTCAGTCCAGTCCCACCCCCAAGCCCCCATCACAGGAATGCCCGGGACCCTGGGTGCAGGGACCCCCCCCCCCACCGCCCCCACCCCGTGGCCTCCCCGCCGCCGCGGCCTCCCGGCCTCACCCACCAGGCCTCCTCTCCGGGCCTCACCGCCCATCCCTCCCCCTACCCCACAGTGTGCTCCGGGCGGGTGCCTCATGGAGCTCTGCATCCAGCTCAGCATCATCATGTTGGGGAAACAGCTGATCCAGAACAACATCTTCGAGATCGGGGTCCCGTAAGTAATGACCCCCCCCCCTCGCCGTTCCCCAGAGCTGGGTCTCCGAGATTGGCGTCTCTTTGACAGCAAACTCTCTCGTCGCTTAGATCGACATCCTATATGGAATGAACTTTCTCTCTCTCTCTCTTTGAGATCGGTGCTCTGGATATAATGAATTCTCTCTCTCTTCTCTCTCTGTCAGATGGGTGTCTCCTCTACAACAAACTCTCTCAGATTCCTATGCCATCTCTCTCTCTCTCTCTCTCTCTTTGAGGTTGGCATACCGTATGTAAAAATCTCACTTTCTCCGTCTCTGTGAGATTGGCATCTTGGGTGTAACAAACCCTTCTGTCTCTGTTGCTCTCGGTCTTGGAGATTGGCATCTGCCTGTAATGAACGCCTCTCTCTCCCCACTCTGTCTGTCTGTCTGTGCCTCTCCCTGAGATTGTCATCTCCTCCGTAGCAAACTCTCCTTCTTAGACTCACATCCTATATGTAATGAACTTTTCTCTCTATTTCCGTCTCGTTGCTTCTGTCTTTGAGATGGGTGGACTGTAGGTAACGATCTCTCTCTCTCTCTCAGACTGACATCCTGTATTAGTGAACTTCCCTCTCTCTCTCTCTGAGATTGGTAAAATGCGTGTCTTGTATGTAACAAACTCTTCTGTCTCTCTTTTTCCGTCTTTCTTAGGTATTGGTATCCCTATATAATAAACTTTTCTCTCTCCCCTCTCTCTCCCTCCCTTGCTCCCTGTCTCTCTGTATCTCTGTGTCTGTCTGTCTGTCTATCTATCTGTCTCTGTTACCAGGGTCAGCCTAGAAGGGCTAGACTTCTATCAGGCTTTCCAGGGTCTCTGGGCCTCTTCTCCGTGTGGCGTTGGGCATTTGTCCTCCGTTGACTCTCCTCATGGGCAAAGCTTTGTTTGCCATTGGCTTTGCCATCTGTGGCCCAGGCGACCCCCACCTGCCATCCTCTCGGGGACCCAGCACCAATAAAATAGCAGCGCTAGGAGCCCGCCAGCCCAGACCACAATGCACATCATATTTTTGCTGTTGTTGTTCTGGGTTGTGGGACTTGAACTCAAGGCCTGGGTGCCATCTCTGAGCTCTTTCACTCAAGGCTGGCGCTCTACCGCTTGAGCCACAGCGCCACTTCCGGTTTTCTGGTGGCTCACTGGAGATCAGAGCCTCACGGACTTTCCTGCCCAGGCTGGCTTTGAACCGCGATCCTCAGATCCCAGCCTCCTGAGTCGCTGGGATGACAGGCGGGAGCCACCGGCGCCCGGCTAAAGAGAAGCCTCCTCAATGAGTTCTACTTCAAGGAATTAGACGCCACCTCACAGAACTGCGGTCTCAGACGCTTTGCTGTGTCCCTCTGCGTCTGGGACTCCGAGGCGCCCGGAGATCATCAAGCAAAGCCCGTGAACCAGGCAGATGGCTGTCGCTCTCCAGGAACGCAGACAGGCAGCTGGGGACCCCCATCCGGGCGTCACCCCAGAGGATACCAAGGGCTCATCTGGCTCCTTTTGAAGCTGTGTGGTCAGCTGGGGAGGGGAGGGCAGCGTCTGCCCCCCCCCCCGCCCTCCCTCTTCACACATGTGGTGAAGTCACCTGCCTCCCCAATGCGTCCCTGCTGCGCTCTGCACAGCATGGCCGACAGATTGTACCCTGCATGCTATGTCTGCTGTGGGGCCCCTCGGGCATCTGGTCGACCACTCAGCCCTCCTCCCCGCATCCAGGCTTGCAGGGCTTAGCAGGAGCTGGGCATCTGTGTTGGCACAACCAGCGTCCATCCACTGGACCAGCCCCGTGGCTGATGCCCAGGACACATGAGGACTGGCCTTCGAGCGGTGGATGTTTCTCATGTGTGCTTGATGGGGGGCTTTCATGGCACAGCAGTTTGCCAAGCTGGGGACGAGTCGCTTCTGCGAGACTCAGAATTGTCTCGAAGGAGCCTCACCAGCCAGGGGTGGACCACTGGCTTCCCTGTCTGGTGGCATTCGTCTCTGCCCATGCTTCGTGCTGGGCGCCGGTGGCTCACGCCTGTCATCCCAGCGACTCAGGAGGCTGAGATCTGAGGATCCTGGTTCAAAGCCAGCCTGGGCAGGAAAGCCGGTGAGACACTGCTCTCCAATGAGCTGCTTGAGATGTGGTTCAGGTAGTAGAACACCAGTGGCCAGGCCCTGAGTTCAAGCTCTAGGACTGGTGTGCATGCGTGTGCGCACACACACACACACACACACACACACACACACACACACAGAGTTCCACTTTGAACCTCAGGCTTTGAAGTCCACAAAATCATGTTATACCACATTCTAATTCTTTGCTATAATTTAATCTCAAGTTTAGCTCCTGGGACGATTGAAGCAAACAGGGTATAGGGCTTTTTGCTAGCCAGAGAGATGGGTTTTTTTGTGCAAGGGTAATTTTGATGTGTGTGTGTGTGTGTGTGTGTGTGTGTGTGTGTGTGTGTGTGTGTGCGTGACAGTTGTGAGGCTTGAATTTAGGGCCTGGGGTGCTGTCCCTGAGTTGCTTTTGCTCAAGGCTAGAGTTCTCCCACGTGAACCACAGTTCCACTTCCGGCTTTTTGGTCATTAATTGGAGATAAGAGTTTCACAGGTTTACCTGTCTCCAAATTACGATCTTCAGATCTCAGCCTCCTACATGGCCGAACTTACAGGCATGAGCCATTGGAGCGCGGTTGGTTGAAAAGGGAATTGTTGGAGATAAAGTCCCCTCGTCTTCTGGTGTAACTCAACTGACAGCTGGCCTCGAACTCGTGATCCTCATGTCTCAGCCACTGACGTCCTGGGAATTTTGGTGTGAATTAACCAGCGGCCCCACAAACACCAGATTTCTCCTACAGGTAGAACCCCTGTGGTTAGACCTTGAGATGGACAGGCATGTAAACCCATGCTTCTGCTGGCAGAATGTCAGTACCTCCCGATTCTTACACACACACACATACACACACACACACACAACCCCAACCTTCCCCCACCTGGGAGCCAGATCTGTAAGGAGCGGCTTCAAAGTAGTGGCCTGGTGTGTGATCTCGTGAGTAGAGGGAGAAGAAAAAACTCAGAACCTTCCAGAGAGTCTCTGAACCCGTCATTTAAAGGGAAGAGAAAGGAAGGAATCTTGGGCGGGGACAGACAGTGGGAGGGGGAGGGGACATCAAATGGGTTATTTTAATGAGCAGGTACATCAGACAGAATGGTCATTTGAAGCTTTCCCAGCAGGCCATCTGTGGTTTAGAGCGTTTGGAAGGTTCCTCTGAAATCCATGTCCGAGGGGACTTTGTGGATTTGTTTTAATAAAGGCTGAGCCATCTCTGAAAGGAAAGCTTTGTGGGTACGGTCACGTGCTCACGCAAGGGAACTCTTTGTGGATTTCTGTTCCTATCCTCTTCGTTGTTGTCGGTCGTGGGTCTTGAACTCTGGGCCTGGGCGCTGTCCCTCAGCTCTTCAGCTCAAGGCGGGAGCTCTACCACTTGAGCCACAGCGCCACGTCTGGTTTTTTGCTGGTTCCTGGGAGATCAGAGTCTCGCCCGGCTGAGATCCTCAGATCTCAGCCTCCTAGGCTGATCTTTCTCGAGGACGAACCTTTCGTGATCATAATTGAGGACCCACTGGGGTTAGAACCGCTTCCTTTCACCCCTTCTGTCTGCGGGAAGAACTCCTGCTCCTCCAGGAGACATCTCAGCGGCTGATCCCTTTGTTCCCCTTCCAGGAAGCTGAAGAAACTCTTTCGGAAGCTGAAAGATGAGACCGAAGCGGGAGAGATGGACCCCGCCCATTCCAAACAGCCGGAGCAGTGGGACCTGGACTACAGCTTGGAGCCCTACACCGGGCTGACCCCGGAGTACATGGAAATGAGTAAGCGGACCTTTTCTTTTCCCTTGGGCGGGAGTTCAGACCCGGGGCTGGGCGGGGAGGGCGAGGGAGGAGCTGGGGAGCTGAGCCTCACTTGTGGGTTTTTGCGTTCAGTACCCGCAGGGAAGTTAAGAGTAAGACAGAGCTGAGCAACTTGTAGCTCACGCCTGTCATCCCTCGGGAGGCTGAGATCTGAGGATCACGGTTCAAAGTCAGCCCTGGGTAGAAAAGTCCGTGAGACTCTGATCTCCATTGAACCACCAGAAAACCAGAAGTGGCGCTGTGGCTCAAAGTGGTAGAGTGCCCGCCTTGAGCTGAAGAGCTCAGGGACAGCGCCCAGGCCCCGAGTTCAAGCCCCAGGACTGGCGCACACGTACACACAAAAGATAGGATGGAAAGTGCTGTAGATTGAAAAGCAGGAGAAGCTTCTGGGTCGGGTAGACTGGGAAGGTGGCACCCATTCTGCGAGTGTTGCGTTGGTGGCTCACATCTGTCATCTAGCGAATCAGGAGGCTGAGATCTGAGGATCGCGGTCCCAAGCTGGCCTGGATGGGAAAGTCCACAAGACTCTCATCTCCGGGCCTGGCTTAGCCTACCCTTGCATTTCTCCATGCATTTCCCACCCTGTGGGTTTCTAGCATGTGTGACTTTCTATCTATGGAGCGTGTGTGTGTGTGTGTGTGTGTGTGTGTGTGTGTGTGTGTGTGTGTGTGTGTGTGTGTGTGTGTGTGTATGCCGGTCCTGAGGCTCGAACTTGGGGCCTGCGTGCTGTCCCTGAGCTTTTGTGCTCAAGGCTGGCGCTCTACAACGTGAGCCACAGCGCCGCTTCTGCTTTCCTGGTGGTTCATTTGGCGATCAGCATCTCATGGCCTTTCCTGCCCGGGCTGGCTTTGAACCGCGATCCTCAGATCTCAGCCTCCTGAGTGGCTGGGGTGACAGGCGGGAGCCACGGGCGCCTGCCTGGCTGCGTGTCTCTTCTACCCCCTCTCTGCCCCGTCAGGAGCATCTTCCCCTCGCTCCGGGATCCACGCGCCTTTCCCCCGGCGTGTCAGCCCCCTGCCCTGGCTTTCCGCTGACCTTTCCTCTCCCGCATGCGTCCACCCACCCGAGGGGCCCTGTTGGTAACTGATGCCCAGGGCAGCATCCGGGCTTTCCCCAACCCCACCGCCCACCGCTCCACTAGGGAATGCTCCGGGTGAACTCTGGGGGGCAGCTGAGAAGAGGGGGTGTCCAGTGTGATTATCCTCTTCCTCCTCCTCCTCCCTCTCTCCTCCTCCTGTCCTCCTCTTCCTCCTCCCTCTTCCTCCTCTCCTCTTCCTCTTCTTCTCCTCCTCCTCTCCTCCTCTGTCTCTCCTCCCTCTCTCCTGCTCCTTTTCCTCTTCTCCTCCTTCTTCTCCTCTTCTTCCTCCTTGCCTCCTCCTCCCTTTCCTCCTCCTCTCTTCTTCTCCTTTCCTTCTCCCTCTCTCCTCCTCCCTCTCTCCCTCCTTCTCTCTCTCCTCCTCCTCCCTCTTTCTTCCTGCTCACCTCCTCTTCCTCCTCTCCTCCTCCCCTGTCTCTCCTTCTCTGTGTCTCCTCCCTCTCTTTCTCTCCTCCTCCCTCTCTCCTCCTCTTCCTCCTCTCCTCTTCTTCCACTCCTCCTCCTCTCTTCCTCCTCCTTCTTCTCTTCCTCTTCCTCCTTGCCTCCTCCTCCCTTTCCTCCTCCTCCCTTTCCTCCTCCTCTCTTCTTCTCCTCCTTACCTTCTCCCTCTCTCCTCCTCCCTCTCTCTCTCCTCCTCTTCTCCTTCCTCCTCTTTCTCCCTCCTTCTACCTCTTTCCTCCTCCTCCTCTCCCTCTTTCTTCCACCTCCTCCTCTCTTCTCCTCCTCTTCCTTCTTCTCTTCCCTCTCTCCTCCTCCTCTTCCTTCTTCTCTTCCCTCTCTCCTCCTCCTCTTCCCCTTCCTCCTCCTCTCCCTTTCTTCTACCCCCTCTCTCTCCTCCTCCTCTTCCTTGGCCTCCTGCTCCCGTGGCTGCCCCCTCCCCAGGTCAGGCAGCACCCAGGGAAGGTGTAATGTGAGCCTGACCATTGCGACTCTGGGGAATAGGTGTGTGTGTGGGGGGGGGGGGGGGTAGAGGCTGAGGCCCACAGCAGCCTTCAAAGCCCGGCTGGAAGTGTGCATGGGGAAACTGAGTCAGGAGCGCATCAGAATAAAGAAAGGGCAGAAAGTGAGCAGGCTCTGAATCCCAGACCGGAGGGAACTCTTGCAGCCGCCATCTCTACCTGGTGTTAGGCAGAGAGTGTGGAGTTGGGGGACAGGGGTCTGGGGGTGGATGGGAGCAGGGGGTGTGGAGTTGGGGGACAGGGGTCTGGGGTGGATGGGAGCAGGGGGTGTGGAGTTGGGGGACAGGGGTCTGGGGGTGGATGGGAGCAGGGGGTGTGGAGTTGGGGGACAGGGGTGGGGGTGGATGGGAGCAGGGGGTGTGGAGTTGGGGGACAGGGGTCTGGGGGTGGATGGGAGCAGGGGGGTGTGGAGTTGGGGGACAGGGGTCTGGGGGTGGATGGGAGCAGGGGGTGTGGAGTTGGGGGACAGGGGTGGGGGTGGATGGGAGCAGGGGGGTGTGGAGTTGGGGGACAGGGGTGGGGGTGGATGGGAGCAGGGGGGTGTGGAGTTGGGGGACAGGGGTGGGGGTGGATGGGAGCAGGGGGTGTGGAGTTGGGGGACAGGGGTCTGGGGGGTGGATGGGAGCAGGGGGGTGTGGAGTTGGGGGACAGGGGTGGGGGGGTGGACGGGAGCAGGGGGTGTGGAGTTGGGGGACAGGGCCTGGGGATGGATGGGAGCAGGGGGTGTGGAGTTGGGGGACAGGGGTCTGGGGGTGGATGGGAGCAGGGGGTGTGGAGTTGGGGGACAGGGGTGGGGGTGGATGGGAGCAGGGGGGTGTGGAGTTGGGGGACAGGGATGGGGGATGGACGGGAGCAGGGGGATGTGGAGTTGGGGGACAGGGGTCTGGGGGTGGATGGGAGCAGGGGGGTGTGGAGTTGGGGGACAGGGGTCTGGGGGTGGATGGGAGCAGGGGGTGTGGAGTTGGGGGACAGGGGTGGGGGGGTGGACGGGAGCAGGGGGTGTGGAGTTGGGGGACAGGGCCTGGGGGTGGATGGGAGCAGGGGGTGTGGAGTTGGGGGACAGGGGTCTGGGGGTGGATGGGAGCAGGGGGTGTGGAGTTGGGGGACAGGGGTCTGGGGGTGGATGGGAGCAGGGGGTGTGGAGTTGGGGGACAGGGGTCTGGGGGTGGACGGGAGCAGGGAGTGTGGAGTTGGGGGACAGGGGTGGGGGTGTGGACGGGAGCAGGGGGGTGTGGAGTTGGGGGACAGGGGTGGGGGGGTGGACGGGAGCAGGGGGTGTGGAGTTGGGGGACAGGGGTCTGGGGGTGGATGGGAGCAGGGGGTGTGGAGTTGGGGGACAGGGGTCTGGGGGTGGATGGGAGCAGGGGGGTGTGGAGTTGGGGGACAGAGGTGGGGGGTGGACGGGAGCAGGGGGTGTGGAGTTGGGGGACAGGGTCTGGGGGTGGACGGGAGCAGGGGGTGTGGAGTTGGGGGACAGGGGTGGGGGTGGATGGGAGCAGGGGGTGTGGAGTTGGGGGACAGGGGTCTGGGGGTGGATGGGAGCAGGGGGTGTGGAGTTGGGGGACAGGGGTCTGGGGGTGGATGGGAGCAGGGGGTGTGGAGTTGGGGGACAGGGGTGGGGGTGGATGGGAGCAGGGGGTGTGGAGTTGGGGGACAGGGGTGGGGGTGGATGGGAGCAGGGGGTGTGGAGTTGGGGGACAGGGGTCTGGGGGTGGATGGGAGCAGGGGGGTGTGGAGTTGGGGGACAGGGGTCTGGGGGTGGATGGGAGCAGGGGGTGTGGAGTTGGGGGACAGGGGTGGGGGTGGATGGGAGCAGGGGGGTGTGGAGTTGGGGGACAGGGGTGGGGGTGGATGGGAGCAGGGGGGTGTGGAGTTGGGGGACAGGGGTGGGGGTGGATGGGAGCAGGGGGTGTGGAGTTGGGGGACAGGGGTCTGGGGGGTGGATGGGAGCAGGGGGGTGTGGAGTTGGGGGACAGGGGTGGGGGGGTGGACGGGAGCAGGGGGTGTGGAGTTGGGGGACAGGGCCTGGGGGTGGATGGGAGCAGGGGGTGTGGAGTTGGGGGACAGGGGTCTGGGGGTGGATGGGAGCAGGGGGTGTGGAGTTGGGGGACAGGGGTGGGGGTGGATGGGAGCAGGGGGGTGTGGAGTTGGGGGACAGGGATGGGGGATGGACGGGAGCAGGGAGATGTGGAGTTGGGGGACAGGGGTCTGGGGGTGGATGGGAGCAGGGGGGTGTGGAGTTGGGGGACAGGGGTCTGGGGGTGGATGGGAGCAGGGGGTGTGGAGTTGGGGGACAGGGGTGGGGGGGTGGACGGGAGCAGGGGGTGTGGAGTTGGGGGACAGGGCCTGGGGGTGGATGGGAGCAGGGGGTGTGGAGTTGGGGGACAGGGGTCTGGGGGTGGATGGGAGCAGGGGGTGTGGAGTTGGGGGACAGGGGTCTGGGGGTGGATGGGAGCAGGGGGTGTGGAGTTGGGGGACAGGGGTCTGGGGGTGGACGGGAGCAGGGAGTGTGGAGTTGGGGGACAGGGGTGGGGGTGTGGACGGGAGCAGGGGGGTGTGGAGTTGGGGGACAGGGGTGGGGGGTGGATGGGAGCAGGGGGTGTGGAGTTGGGGGACAGGGGTGGGGGGTGGATGGGAGCAGGGGGTGTGGAGTTGGGGGACAGGGGTGGGGGTGGATGGGAGCAGGGGGTGTGGAGTTGGGGGACAGGGTCTGGGGGTGGACGGGAGCAGGGGGGGGCTCCAGGCCGATGGCATCCTATCTCGTGGTGATCTGCAGACACATCGACACGTGGTAGAACCTCAGTTCTCAGGCTGTCTCTTCTCTAAGCCCACGGGGGGGGGGGGGGGGCGTGATTTGGATTCAGGGAGGTGGGCAGCCAGGGGCAGAGGTGACAGTTTCTGAGACC